TTTGGCTGTTTTGGCTTTTGTTCGTGCTGCTCTTGTTGTTGTTGCCCGGTTTTTCATTTTTCAAAAATTTCACATTAGGCAGTTTTAAGGATACCAGGACCAGGTGTGACTTTTGGTCTACAGCGTCGAACGAAAACGAAATCGAGTGCAATTAATGGCCGTTGATAGATTTTTATGTTTGTATATTGAGAGTAATCAGTCGGGCAGTTTTGAGGGTTGAAGATTTAAGTTAAAAACGCTATAGCTAGGCGTCATATGTATGCATGTACACACCCATGATCCCTGGTATTTTATGGAACCTACAACTTATACACAATTACAGTTAAAGTTTTAAGGTTCAACATATCGGAGTTGAAATGCTACTAAGATATACTATATGTGTTTCCTATGATATCATTAATTAATTAAACTATTAAAATAGATTTTCATTAAAAATTGTAACTACTCTTTATACTTAGTAAGACCTTAATAAAGTAATTGTAGAACGCGCCATGATAGCTCTATTCAAAAAGGGACATACTGCTACGTGCTGTTGGCACTCTTGATAAATACGTAGCATTTTACCTGTGGCACGGGCGTGAATTATTCACAATTTTATTTCTTGCATGCCACACACGTCGAGGCACGCAAATGTCTCGTTGTGTTAGTTGCTGTTGTCATCCATCACTGTAGCTGCAATGCAATACGGACACAATAAAGGAAATAACGTCGCGCCAACTACAAACAATTGCCTATTTTGATACAGGGTGCGCCATCTTCTGATGCTGTTCCCAAAACAGTCGTCCTTAATATTTTGGGATACACGATAAGGATAAAATGATATACATGTAGAAAGGGAAACGATGAACAGACCAGTATTCGGGGAAAGTAATAATATATAAAGCCAAACTTCAATTTCACAATGTTCTACATATCATACCTTAAATACCTTGTACTTGTACTGCTTTAAGTTAGGAATTCATAAGATATGTTTATGTTATGGAATATTTTTGTTGTGTACCTTAAATATGCTTAGTGCGTTTTGGAATTAGATTATGATATCTGTAGGTGAATAGATTTAAGTTGGTGGCATTGCTGGAACAAACGAACCATGTATTTGCGCAGGACATTTGGGATATTATTTATCAAATAGTAATACAGGATAAGCAAAGCGTATTCAAAAAAAAAAAAAAAAAAAACTCATAATCGACCTTTCTCCTTCAAAACAAGTATACGCTTTTAATCTTTGAACCACAATATTAAATCAATGCATTTAAGAAATTTTTATTTTAAAATGTAATTGTTGTATCATGGTTGCGGTATCGTATCACATTCCTTTCCATTGAAATAAGGTGGGCGCTTGCATAGAGGCATTCCTCGGAATACGAAAATAAAGATGAAAACCCAAAAGTATGCTTGCAAGTGTTGCATGGCCCTCGTCGAAGTATATAAACAAACTAACCATACTTAGTTAATTTTATTTCAAGGTGTTATTTAAGGTGTCAAAAAATTAAAATTTTGATTAAATAATGCCCGATGCATTTAAAAAATAATTTATGCATATGATCGATGAAAAAACTTCAACAAATCCAACGCAGATCCATCTTAAGGCGAAATAGTGCGTCATAATAATGAACGTGTGGTCGACTTTATATGGAAAAATTTTTTCTAGGGGGGGCCGTTGCCTGCGTACGCCCTTGGGTACAGGGTATAAAAATACACACTAGTCCTGAAATATCTAACTGTTTTTAAGGCGAATAGTTGTCATTAGGCTAAATAGATTTTGTCCATGTAACTTTATGAACTCAGTACATAAGAAGGGTATCTGTTCGCCCATATTATAAATTTATTATAAAGCTGAAGAAAAAGAAAATTTGTAACAACTATTGGAGGTGGGGGAAAAATAATGTGTATTATATGCAGAACCAACGAGTTGCTAATTCTTAATAATATGGTAGTATGCAGCGTTTTAAAGTTATAGTTTCATTCTTTACTAGTAATATAACGACTTCTAACAGCAATGCATACCGCAATCGTGCTGACAAATTTGTTGCTAGTCACTACCATGAAGGTACCGGATTTTATTTGCCTACCACCCTATGTGATATCTGGCACAAATTGTATTATTAAGTGATAGCAAAAATACTATTTCTTTATCTAATATCTAAGTAAGTAATCATTTTTTTATACCTAAAGTGTGTTATAATTATTTACATATATACGTTTTGCGTAGGTAATTTGCAAAATAAGCTGAAAGAACGCGACCCTGTTCCCAGACAAACTTCCGGCACTGAGTTATATGCGCCTGCAGCAGAAGCCAAAAGAAGAAGAAGAAAAGCGAACTTGATGCTGCAGTTATTGGACGTATAACTAGAGTGAATCTGTTTCGGTAATAATTTTTCTTAGCATTGACCGATTTGGATGAAATTTGTATAAAAAATGATTACTTGTGGAAAGATGGCTTGTAGCTATTGCATGTGGACAGTATTGACAAAATTCTGTAGAGTGGAAAGAAAAAGCAAAATATTTTTTTATGAAAATTAAAAAAAAATATTTTAAAAAATATGAATATTTATTAAAATAATTAATTTCTGTAAATAAAAAATATTCAATACATACATACTTAAGTGGAGACATACATATGTGTATGTACAGTTTATATTAGAATCGTTTCTATGCGTGTTTATGTGCGTGTATGTGTGCAGTACAGAAATAAGTCAAATTCTCACTAAACTACCCACTCTGTACATGGTATAGTTACATGTACGGTGAAGTTTCACATTGATGGAAACGCATCTTCAAAATGTTTTGTCCTCTTATGAGATATAATAAATATTTGTGTTTGAAATCCATTATTGGACGTTATCGAAATGCACAGAAATTACCCCTTTAACGAGGGATTAGCGAAATTATGATTGTAGTTGCCTATCACAAAATACTCGTTTATATTTAAGTATTTCATTTTTAATATTAAAAATATTTTTGACTAATAATAATAAAAAAAAAATAATTATAATAAATAATAATCAATAATAAAAAATAATTACATAATATCTTCGTTCATCACATAATTAAAATTCTGTTTAACAATGTTCCTATCAACAAACGGGAAAATTTCGCATCCCATATCTTTATGTTTGTCTATTGTAAAAGGAAATATAATCTCTGCCTATGCTCTGACCGCAGTTGTGGTTGATTTCGCATCTTTGGCTTAACTTTGTACACAAAAGCATAGACAAACCCAGAGAATTTAAAATGTTTAATAAATATTAGACATAAAATATATTAGAAATATTCTCCTCCACATTTATATCGCTGAACTTCTATGTTCACCTTATCAATTTACTTTTTACTTTATCAAAAGTCATGTAACAATTAAAGATTAAATTAAATTAAACCAAATTTTTACTAAATTTAGCTCCACTACACAAAAATTAGAACGGCATGTATAAATAATGTAAATTCCAAGCATTTATACTTAAGGTAAAACTAAGCCTTGTACTATTCTTCTTGGCGCGATTTGATTTGTGAATGTGCGGTCATTAGACCGTCGTTACAACTGTAAATCATAAGCGTGTGTTATCTACTAACGAAACATCTCAAGGCATTGCCAACACATGCAAACGCCATAAATAGGCATGAACTTCTATTGTGTTCACAGGAAGGATAAGCCAACAAGCCAACTAACCTAGACCAGGCCTGTCACATGCTTGTGCCTCGTACCCCCATAAAACTTGATGACAAACAACAATGGGTGGAACGCGACTAAGACCTAACCCAACTAACAACGCTAGGAAATTGCAGATGAAAGCCGAGCGGCGATGCCTGCTCGCTCAGGGCACTTTTGTGAAAAATGACATAAACACACACAGACACACGACCGTGGGTGCTATAAATGGGTAAGCGGAACGATTGATAATGTACTAAGCACGCACGGGCTAGAGGTAAACACGGTGGCTGCTGCCCCTCTACTCGTATCCTGGGCCGCCAGCAGCCTTCACGCTTTAATTGGCTGCCAACGACAAAAGTCATACATTTTCACTAAAATGTCACACAATGACGGCATACGCACACGCTCATGCACACACACACACACACACTAACACACATACAGTCAGCCATTGCAGACAGGACACGAACAGCTGCTCATGGAGTTACAGAAAATGATCAATGCCGCTCAGCGAAGGGCTCGTGTTGCTTCCGTAGCAGCAGCACCGGCAACCGCATCGTTAGCGGGAACTGCAGGGGGGATGTTGATATCAAAAGGGCGACGGACGCGTTTTGAGAAACCGCCCTGGTCCAGCGGCCAATCAGACCGCGTGTAAGCGGCAGAGGGCGTGGCCTTTTGATAATGTGAGCGCTTTGCTGCTTTTCGATTAAAGCGCGACGATTATGATACAGCAGACCACAAGGCTCTCCCCCAGTTCGCGTCTCTCTGTCGCTCGCACAGACTAACTTTTTGATCGTTGCCATTGCTTTGCAATTCAATCGTCTATTTGGATGTGCTTGTGTGAGTGAGTCGAACGCCCCTTTTGCTCTGGCGCCACACACAGGCGGGCGCGAAAGCACAGTATGGGTGTATGTGTGTGCGTGTGTGTGTGCTTGTGAAACCAGTTTATGCGCGATCTCATTGTTCGTCTTTGTCGTCGGCGTCGTCGCAGCCGCCGTTGTTATCGGCAGCGTTCGTTAATTTATGCTCGCGCTGCTCTTTAGTTGTGTTGCAAGTCTCGTGCTGTTTGATCGTCGAGGCGCGCGTAATTCCGAGAAAGAAAAGTACGAAGCCCACGTCGCGCCGTGTCGTGCGCCTCGTAGTTCCTTGCCCCAATAACAAAGCCAGCTCGTCGAGCTTTTTGAACTTCCGTCGGAAACTGTTTACTGTGCGCGCCTTCTGACCATTATAATACAAGTTTTTTGCATTCTGTTTGCCGGGCAGACGCATGGTTTACGCTGTGTTTATGTATATGTGTATGTGTGTGCAATTGGAACCCATTAGTCCATTTCATTCATTGACCCAAGGCCGTTCAATCGTTAAAATTCACATCGCCAGACTTTAAACTAGTCTTAAGTTAAGTTAGCAAAATATGGATATGTCCAATGCCAATTCTCTGAACATGCGACCGCTGTTCACGGGATACCCCTTCCAAGGTAAGCATGAATCGCTGATAAAACTAATCATAGATGTATGTATGTATGGATGTATGTATGTATGTATGTATGTATGTGTGTACAAAGACATACTCTTAGTTAAAGATGTGGCAATCCCAAACCAGAGAAGAAGCTTCCTGCAGCATATGCGGAGAAGCCATGTTTAAAGATTTTCGGCTTTAGTAACTAGATTTGTCCATGAATTTATTGTAGATAAAGTCATTAAGCTTCCGACCTCGGCGAACATTAATCACTGATTACTGAATCAGAGCTCTAAGTATCTATATAGTATTGGACGTCTACTAATAAAGAAAATTGTAAGCCCATCCTAAAGGAAAGAAACTACAACCAATACTAGGTTAGATTCTATCGACTAGCTCAATCCGTATTGTATATGGTATGTATAGAAAAGCGCACCAGAAAGCATTTCTTTGGCATTTCTCCGTGAATCGTATGCGAACATCTTGGGGTTAGAAATTAGTTTCATGAACTATAAGCTCTAAGGTTTTAATAAATGTAAGTATATGATGTCGCAGATCAAAGAAAGAAATTTATTTACTACTTGTATACTGTCTGATAAACAGAATTGAGATCATATATATGGAATCCCTTTTTCAATTGTAATCCATTTATCCTCCAATTAAAATAATATATAATTTTTATAAAGGAAAATGTTGAGCACAATACATATTATTTTCGTTATGTTTAGGTTACTCAATACTGGAGATAAGTTATTTTTGAACAACAAATAACGTTCTCAGCCAAATATCTCAAAATATCGTGGAATTTAAAAATAGCTTAATAAGAAGCTTTTAATAGCGTTAATAGCGTCATCAATGAATGCAAAGTAGATGGAGATAGGGGTCGCCGAAAAATAATCGGATCTGTCATATCCCACTGTATGGACATTTATTAGATCTGATTGCGATACCTTAAAGCATTGAAGCTATGGGTTATTTATTGTATGAAACTTATCAAAAACTCTCTATCTCTCTTCTTCCAGGCCAGGGCCGGGTTAACCAACTTGGCGGCGTATTCATCAACGGTCGACCCCTGCCCAACCACATACGCCTACGGATTGTGGAAATGGCTGCGAAAGGCGTTCGGCCCTGCGTTATATCGCGTCAGTTGCGCGTCTCGCACGGTTGTGTTTCGAAAATCCTGAACCGTTATCAGGAAACGGGTTCCATACGCCCGGGCGTAATTGGTGGCTCGAAGCCAAAAGTGACCTCGCCGGAGATCGAAGGTCGCATCGATGAGCTACGCAAGGAGAACCCTGGCATATTCAGCTGGGAAATACGCGAGAAGCTAATCAAGGTGAGCACCAATGGGTGGCAGATGACTGCACCTGCGCGTGCGCAGGAAGCAATAAAATGTGACATCACAAATAAACGAAGGACTTTTGGGCAAACAGTGGCCGTAACCGCACGCACGATCCGAACAATTGGCCAATGGTCATTCAAACTGCATTTAAACATTTAAACACACGGAGGCTTACTTCCGTTTTCCGAAAAGTCACGTGGCAATACTGCTGGCCCTGGGCCGCCCGCTGTCTTTGTTTATGGCACGTTGCCGGCGACAGTTCAAGCCGAGTCGACTTGCTCTCTTTTTTTGTTGTTGTTTTTGTTTTCCTTTTGCATATGCCGGCAGCCAATGCCAGTTGGGCGATCGATTGTTGCTGTTTCCTACACTCATTGACAAACTCGTTGAACACCGGCGACAACGACAACGGCAACGACAAATTTGCGCATGCCACCCAAACCGTTAAAAAATCGATTAAAGCATAAAAGGCGGCAACGCCAACGGTGTTATTATTGTTGTTGTCGGTGACGCTGTTGGTGCCGCCCGTTCGGTACCCATGTCGGCGTTGTCTGTGTTTATCCTTGAGGCAGGCGGCAAGGTGCAAAAAGGCCAATACGGTATTTTCAAACTCTCTAAACTTCCTGTTGCACATACACTATTACAAGCATAGGGCGTTACACATACTCGTACTCAGAAAGACACCTACAATTGTAAAGTTAGAAAACAGCCGTCCACACTCTACCACATACATATTAATATTTGATTTCTTATTATTAATTTCGGTTATAAGTAATTCAAGTTGTTAATCACTAGAGTTAAGCCGCGATGCCTCTAAGTGTAAATAATTTGGTCTAGATGCCATAGAGGCTATACTAACTTTAACGTCTATTTGCACCCAACTTTTCCAAAGTTAGTTCAGACTAGCAGCTCCAGTGGATTGGATTAGCGACGATGAAATCAGTAATTCAGTAATTCAGTAATTCAGTCCATAAGGCACACCACTCCCCCCCTGGAAAATAGATTAGGTATGGTTAGACATTAATAAACGCATGAGTACCAACATTTTTTCTATTATCATAATTATCTTGATGCACTATAAAGAAACAGAGCACGCAAATAATGATAATTTTTTTTTTTTAACGAAAAAATCATTCCTTAATAACAAACAAAGCGAGGAATTTTTTTTTTACTTTACACCATAACTATTAAAAGTTTCGTACAATAATGATTTCAAGAGTTTTTTTTATACCCTGTACCCAAAGGGTACAAGTTTGTTCATTTTTCCCGATGCAACCCCCCACTCCCCCCTTATTCAAGATTTTCTATAACTCCCGTAATTCTTGGAATTTTAAACTAAAATTTGGTGGACACATCCAGTTAGTGATTATATATCCGTATACCATTATGATAGGTTGATCAAAAAGAAAGTTAAAGCCATATAACCTGGCCCAATGCACACATACATACATACATATGTACAAGTACACAAACACGCATAGACACGATTCTGATGTAAATGTAAATGTATGTATATTTTATGTATGTATGGAATATTTTATATTTAATTTAATTAATTAATTAAATTAATTTAATTAAATTAATTAAATAATTAAATTAAATTGATATATTTTTTTTGGGGTGGTACAGGGTATTTAATAGCCTGCTCGACTTTAGCATTCCTTTCTGGTTTTTTGTTCTTAAATAAAATGTAAGCTGTAATTTTGCCTGAAAATATTTTTTAAGGATGTTTTTTTTTTAATCCTATAGGGGTTTGTCTTGCACTATTGTTTAAGGATATTTTTAAGTTTTGTAATTATTCTACGGAAAAAGCAAGGAAAATAACAACTTGATATTTATTTTTGATCAAAAAATAAAATTTATGTGCGAGTCGAAGATGCCAGGATCGGTGTGGCGGCAAAACCATTCTATACATATATATATTGTTTGTTGTTTGCGAAAAAAGTTTTTAGTTCCAATACGGTAAGCGGTTAATACTTTGAAGCAAAGAAAAACTAATATTTGACGGATATGGGAATTGTTCTTTTTGCATTTCGTTTTCAAAATTATCTTTTAGAAACACAACTTGTGTATACTGTCGAATACTATTTCTTTCAAGTATCTCTACAACATTACAGGTAAATCTTAATATTAACTTTGATCTGTGTACAGCGCTTATTGCATATGCAAATTATAACAAGAGAGAACGCTACAGTCGAGCAAGCCCGACCGTGAAATACCCTGTACTCAGGTAAACTTCCGTCACTGAGTTATATGCGCCCAAAGCAGCAGCAAAACGAGGAAAAAGAAGAGCGAACTTGTTGCTGCAGTTTGGTGGGTTGTACTGGAGAGAATTTGTTTCGCTAATAACTTAGAATTGACCGAATTGAATAGAATTTTAAACAACAGTAGATAAATATGTATAAATTATGTGTGCAAAGTTTAGTTTAGGTATCATTTGAAATGTGGACGCTATTGACGAAATTCTGTAGCGGGGGAAGGGGGGGAAAATTCCAAAAAATAAAATAAACTCGTCCTTTCTCGGACCTAGGAGAATCTGGATGCCAACTTTGGTTATTCTAGCTTTTATAGTTTCTGAGATCCTTGCGTTCATCCAGACGGACAGACAGACGGACGGACGGACGGATATGTCTAGATCGATTTCTCTCGTCATGCTGATTCAGACTATATATAATTTATGGGGTCGGAGATGCTTCCTTCTGCATGTTACATACTTTGCACAAACCTAATATACCCTTTTTACCCTACGGGTACAGGGTATAATAAAAAGCGAGCAGTGCCAGGCACTGCCTCAAGTCAAGTTTAAATCATGTCACGTTTCGTTGAACAACTTCTGAGAGCTCACAAAAAACAAAACTGTCAACAAACTCGCACATATATTCGTATTTTTTGGCCGCCATAATCGCAAATGTCAGACCATTATTTTGCAGCAAATTAGCGTAAAACTTTTGGTAAGACAATACACGACCGACATGGCAGAGAAGGAACAACCCATCCGACAGGCGTGAACTGCAAAACATAAAAGTGAGGAGGAAGAGCCGATTTGCCGATTGCCGAACCTACGCCAATGTTGTTTTACCTTAGTTGTTGTTTATTCAACGGCCAGACCAACGGACAGACGCACTGTCTCGAAAATTTCGGCATGCTGCCTACTAAGCGGGAGCGAGAGTTGGCCCTTTTACTTGTCCCGCTTTGCCTTTGGCGTGTGCAGCATTCATGAGCCTGCCTTTCTGACGGTTTCTGCACAGCTCGGTCTGTCCATTTGTCCGTCTATCCGTAAGTCAGTTAAACCGCCTATCTGTCTGTAGTCTTTATTTGATGCCGCAATTAGTTACAGTTTATGTGCCGATGCCATCGATGTGATCAAGCAGATATCGCACACTCACACACACAAACACACACACACAATTGCAGAAACAGATACAAATACAAATACATGTGCGGTGGCATCACTCTTGAAATGTATCTTTGGGCAACACTTTGTGTGTGTTGCCTGCTTGTGTTTCAATGCAAGCAGGAGGCGGAAAGCAGCCTCCAGGTGCGCTTCACGCTTAATTAGAATATGCTATAGGCATTGCCTCAAAATGTGTGCAGGTATTATATACTATATTATTGTATTGAACTGAACGTTGTGTGTGTGTAAATGTGAGCCAGTTTTCTTCGCAGTTGCGCTTTTATTTTAACTTTATAAATTTTACAACAGTCTGCCGTGCAAGTCAACTTATAAAGATTGATTTCATTTGTTGTTTTTGCAAATTGGGTTATATTTGTATTGACAGCACTGTGAACATTACTGCACATCAATTATAAGTCAATATTTTTGAAATATTCATCTAAATTTGAATGTTGCTCTATTTGCGCTACAAAGAAAAGCAAGGAAGTAGCCTTCCAATTACTGTTCTCAATTGATTGCATTAAGGAAGCTGCTTATATATTTGCAGAAAGATTCAAAATCCACATGCGAAAATACAGGCTAGTTAGTAGGTTACACGTAATGGTAATCGATAAAATCGGGCACGGGCAATATGTGGTATTTCAGGCGCAGATAAATGTTAATAATATGGTCGAATACTTTCCCGCTCCACTTATCAGAATTGGCCCCTAACCATATGAGTTAACGTCGTTTTTTATATTTTGCATGTTTTTTTATAATAATAATTTTTATAATAACCTATTTTTTTCGTGACTTTTCTGAGTCTGAAATTTATAATTATTCAGCACACGGGCATACAAAAATCCCGATACAAATGACGAAAAATTTTTCCGGATAAAGACAAGAAAGAAAGCCATTTATTTATATCAGTAGTAGATCGTGATTAATTATGATAATCTGAATGACAAAGATTTGATACATTCTGATCCAATTTACCTGCGTTTTGTTATTATTTATCGGTTAAGATAAAAAACTATTTTTTATTTTTAAATTTTTATCTATAAATGCATTTAAAAATCTTTTCATATTTATTGTTGTATAGAAACATTTTTCCTTTCCAGAATTTTATAGAAGCTGAGTACCAAGTGTGTTGTGACTCTAAAGCGCAGATAGACGGATGTATCTAGATCGAAGCATATTCATACTGTTAGAATTTAAAGCTTTCCAGCTTGTTATTATTTGTAAAAGGTGTATAAATAGTTTGTGGTCGTAAAAAGCGTCCATTTTGTGTTGGTTTAAGCTTTCGGTAATGCCAAACATTATAAAACGAGTATATTATTTTTGAAAATATGGAAAAGGTTAATTTTTTTTACTCATTTTGCCTAAACAGTTTTTGTAACAAAGCATTTAAATCAAATGTTAATAGTGTACGACTAATGGTTGTGCCAAAATGTTTGTCAAAAATAAAACGATTTCTTATTCCATTTCACCTTTTGGGTAATTCCACTACAAAGCTTACTGATCGTCAACCATTTTTGATGCGTACATTTTTAATATTTTATCGCAACTCTGGATAGTTTTGCTTCACTCATTTGTGGATTTTGGTGCCGATTAAATCAGTTTC